GGCTGCCACTATCAATACCCTTTTTCGCTGATAAGCACGCATGGTCTTAGACAGCTCAATGTCGCGTTTTATCGCTATTGTGAGTAGCAGCGCTATGACTTGACTGCTATTGTCAAATTCTGAAAAAGATTCGCTCCTTATCCTGTTTTAGATTCTTTCATCTCATGTTCCTCTGGGTACTCTGGGGTGTGCGGTAGTATCTCCGGGTCAATTGGTGAGTGCATATCTGCAGGCTCAAAACTTGCCAAGCGCGTCTGTTTGCCATCAATTCGACGATTGTACAAACATGACCACACGAATATATAAGGTTGTGTCACTGTGATCACATCTTTACCTCCTGCGGCACTTATTCAAGCGGGTTGATTGATTTAGTTGTTATTACCCAACGATTAGGCTAGCAGCCACTAGTACTTTACAGGTTTCTCTTAACAACAACCAATAGGTTGCAGGAGCCTTCGCTAGCAAACTGAACCCTTCGATCGACAACTACCAACGGTTATTTGGACTAGCTCTCACTTGTTAAGTGCACGCTCTAATCAACAGGTACCAATAAATGGCTGGGCCAGCGCTCGTTAGTATTTTAATTGTCCTGCTTTTCAACTGTGTTTAACGGGTGCAGGGCATTGCTGTGCTTAGATGTTCCGTCTGAGACAGCTTCATTACCCAAAATGAAAGAAGGGCCCACCTTAGAAGGAGTTGCAGTGAAAAAGGAAACCTTGTTGACCATCACGAGGGGCCACCACAGCTAACTAAACAAAGAAACAGAAAATCATATACAAAAGCAATGGAGCTAAGCAGCAATCCAGAGCAGTACAGAAACAATGACAACAACGCCTGCTGAAATGCGTCGTTTATCGCAATCAGTATCGATCGATATACAGATCAAAAAGAAAAATTAGCAATGAGCGAGGGTGTCAAACGCTCAAACTGGCCGAAACAACCGTTTACAAAGCCTGCGTGCACTATCAAGAATGTTTGCCCCGAACCACTACAGCTGGTGCACGCGAACAATTTTATCTTTAGCTCCTGCAAAGACAATGGTACGATATTGCTCCCTCGAAAGGAAGCCTTCCCTTTAGCTTTTCAAACTTTCAGATAGCGCACCGAACATAAGATACTAACGATGGGAGGTCTTTCATTCATTTTCTTTATGCTACTTAGAAGTGCAGGAGTTGCTTCGTAATAGAGTGCTGGAATTGATTCGTAATATAAGTTTTGGAAGTCAATGTTCGCTAAAAAGACAAATTTGCTACCTGAAACTGTGCTCTGATGATTGAGGATTTCCTTCATTTGGACTGTCATCCTCGGGGTTGTTTCCGAACACCGCGTCGCGCGGCCGCACCTGCTGCGTATGGCAGAAATACGATGGAAGATCGAAGTGCGCAATCTGTGAGTTAGAGAGTCCTTTAATTATCTGAAATTGCTGCCCGCTCCTTCAACTCCAATGCGGTCTTGATCATCGATAACATAGGGGGAGTCATTCCAAACAGTCAAGTCTAATTAACATAAGAACGAAAAAGAAAGTCAAAAAAGAAAGGTAGTCAACGACAAAGATTGCGTCCTATCGATTGGCGGGAGGCTGGCTGAGTACGGTGTTTGCAGTTTGAAGCCGCGGGACAACTCAAGAAATTTTGCCGTATGCCGCAAAGCGAATGTGGAGAATGGGGAGAAGTCCCCCTCCCCCCCATCCTCGAATAGCCGTAGTTTTTACAGGGTGTCCCGAAATTATTGGCGCTAAAATTCAGAAATTTCCAAGGTAGAAATAATTTGTCAAGTTCACATTACCTGTTATTAATTAGCTGCATAAGAAAGTTACCTTGCAACATGCATGGTTACTGATGTGAAACTCACAATATCTTTCACAATGGAGGAGGCTCATTCAATGCCACTTGCAATCATTGAGACACGAGAGGTGGAAGGGCATTATGAAATTCCTTGGGTTTTTATATAATAACCATATAGGAGGCTACTAAACGATATAGAAAAGAAGAGTGAATGAGAGGCAAACCAGGAAAAAGGTAGGAAGGCCAACGTTTCTGAAGATAGGACTATTAAAATGGTCCGTCTAGCAATCGGTCGGGATCCTGGGTGACCCATCAAAGGAGGTCAGCGGGCACGGCTCACAGGAGTTATCGCGTTGGAAGAATGTCATGCAGAAGCTTCATTGCCATTCCTATCATATGCAGAAATTTCGCTTCAATACCGATCTCAACAGCCACTGCAGGGCCAAAAAATGCAGAAAGTCGCAAACCCACTTGAAAGATGACACGCAACTCTCATCGTTTTCTCTTGCCAAAAAATTTTTAACGATAAAACCATCCCTCAACAACCAAAACGTTCACGTTCCGGAAGGAAACATCTAGCATGTAATATTTCCCGAAAGCTTGCTATGAGAACAGTAACCCGGTCCCTGGTTAGTAGAGGACCTGTCGAGTTTGCAATCCCAGTTTGGAGTCCTAGAATGCAAAGGCTGAAGAACGGCTGTGAAGAAACGAAGAAGGATACCTACGTGCCACATGCGATCAAGTCGAAAGCAAACTTTGACTTCTATCCGCCCTTGGGGATATTTCGAAATGCGACTGTAGCATGTTGTAGCACATAGTGTTAGCTAGCGTGCATAGCAGTTTCATCGTCTTCTGCGGCCGGGAAGTTGCAAATATATTGCTATAAATCTGCTCCAATAATTTTGGGACACCCTGTACAAAGGACGCAAAACGCAGGTATATTACTAGGTCGCTTGGTCTATTTGGGGCGAGGATCGAACATTTACTATAGTTGCATTTATTTGGCCCGGTCAAAACTTGATGCCGTAGAGGTCTCGATAATTATCGAACATCGTAATAGAGAATCGAAATAATCGTGAAAGTTGTTTCAGTGGTGTTCATTTGTAATATGTCCTTTCAGCAAGGTAGACCTAGTTCCATTCGGACTTTCCCGCTGTGTCTTTCCTTCTGAACTGTTGACGAAACTTGAGCGGTTGGACAGGTCTGGTCATCGTCTTGTCATTGAACACTAGGAATTTGTGAGACAAAGCGGGAGCGATTAATCGAAACCTTATGGGATGAATGCTTTTCGTTACATGCACTAGTCATTCGTTACTTGACACAAGTAGGAAAATATATAATAGGGAATCCACCCACACATTAATATCATTGCTCAGCTGGGAGAACGGCTGATACTTCCGTGTGACCCAGCAGTAACTGCATTAAGTGGCTAGTTCTACAAAACACGCTTACTTCAATCTTTCAATTCATCCCTTCTAGCCTTCTAGTGCATCCTTCAGTGCTATGATCGACTACCTTCCACTCTCCATACGCTCCATATATGAGCACGCGCTCGCGCTGTTTAACGTGTCTCTAAAGGCCTCTTGACCTACCAGTTCTGAAAAAGTCTCGATGCCCAAATCCTGGTTTTCATAGCAGTGACATCAATTTCAAGCCCTTCATGACAATTAATATTCAGGACGAAATCAGGAACGATGATATCAAAACAAGGCAATGACTGATTGTTAAACATGTCAGAGCACAAACTTGCACTTCAACATTCAAGTTCTCTTTGAGCTTCTGTCGATATTTGCCTTCTTTTCTATTACTACAAATCGGCGGGGCTATCGGAGTGTCAGTGCTACTGCCAATTCCACATCTATTAGTCGAAAGTCTTTGTCGAGTGTCAGCCTCTGCGATCGTTTTTTTGCCGTACACAGTGAAAATATTTAAAAAGTGAAACTTCGTATGTCTTGAACAGATGCTTTTGTCAATAACTAGCGTTATCTTTATCACACGAGGCAATTACTTCATAGCACCCCATACCTGTTATACGCCCAAGTAATTTAATCCCCCATACATTTCTCGGGGGTATTGTCTATTCTGTTCCTCATCAATAATGTTTCTAACCTACAGTGCGTCTTCAAATGACACAGTCACCTCTGATTTTCCCAAAATCTCACAGTATAGTTTCTGAAAAGTGCCAAAGTAAAAAATGTCTCAAATTTGAACTGCATTGCCCACATTATTACCAAATTCGAGTTCGGAAACAAACATTTTTTGGTCACTTTTCAATGAGGGGTGCTTTTTCAACATCTCCAAACGATACAGCCACTAACAAAATTGATTCATTTCGCAACAGACATGCAAAAAAGAGAGAAAACTGCAAAATCAATAATCAGTTGGTCCACCATTCCTTCGAATTACTTCAAAAATACGGTGTCCTAGGCTCAAATAAAGACTATTAATCACCTCCTGGTCAACTTGGTGCCATGCTTCGATGGTCGCTTTTATCAACTCCTGACGCCTGCGAATCGCTTGTTTTGGGCGTCAATTCTCCGCACCATGAAGCACCATACATTTCCATCGGATTCAAATCGATTGGGGCTGTTCGACAGCCAGGGCAGAAGTGCAATCCGATGCCGAAAGAATAAAGCTTGGGTGCTTCTGCTGACATAAGTTGGGGCTTTATCTTGCATAAAAACAAGATTTCGGTGCCGATTTTGACGCCAGAAAGGGAGAAGCGTACGGCACATATCAGTTCGATAAAAGGACGAGTTCATCTTTTTTGGTTCAAAACATAAACACGGATACGCTTACTCGACGAGATCGCGGCCCAAACCATGACTCCTCCTCCCTTGAGGTTTCGTCTGGAAAAGTGAAGTTTTTCCTTCCACTCGTCGTGCCAATGAAATTGGTTCCCGTCTGGACCATAACAGTTGAACTTCTTTTCACCGAAAAAATGCCCTGAAGAGCAAAATCCATCAAGCATCATGATAAGGAAGGTCAAATGTCAGCACATGAAGAACAATTTAGTCCACCGGGTTTGGCTGCACCTTTTGGCTGAAGCGACCCAATTTTCTCGATGTTCTTTTGTCATGAAGGTACGCATCACGCCTTTTCCGCCTGACGATGAACTTGGACTTTCATACCACCTTCCAAACAGGGTTTTTGAGACATTTAGGCTCAGAGACGATCGGATTTCCGTACAGGACTTGGTGGAGTTCGACGCTTCCCTCAAAATACGGCGCTTGTCTCTGTCGGAAAGGAGCGAAGGACGTCCAGCACTTCTTCTGGTTCCATAGGCTTCAGGATTCCTGATGAAATTATCCACAACTGCGTGACACCGACCCAAACCTTGCGCGATTCTACTATTCGACAGTCCCTGTCCTTCTTCGCGAGGATTTGACCTTTCTCGAATTCCGAAAGCAACTTTCCTTTTCTCATTGCCTGAAAATGAGGAACATTACATGAACAAAGCAACACTGTTGCGTTGAACTAAAATACGAGACGAAGGCATGTAGTGGCGGTGTCATTTGGAGGCGCACTGTATGTCTAGACGTGGTTTCCATATTGCCTTGCTTTCAAAGTTGCCATATCTATGCATACCTTCGCACAGACTGGAACTTCCTGAGAGCAGCAACCGAGGTTGAAAGGATCAATTGTGACAGTATGAAGAAGCTTCGTGGTCTTGTGAAATTCAGTGAAAAACTCGAGGACGCCATTCAGTGCTACACACAACTTTGCGTAACGGAAAGTGACTACCACTCGTTCCAGTGCCAGGTAAAGACACTTTGTAGAAATACAGGTAAACCTTTTTTGCAAGGTTCGCCTCGTACTCTTTTTCTCCTCTCTTCTCGAATGTGTTTGCTTGAGGATGCATGATGATTCAAAAGTTTCCATGTTCTTTTGCATTAACTGGGTGGAACATGTCAACATTTTGAATTACGAGTTGTCTCAAATGTAAATGTTAGCAATGGTATGGTTGTGAGTTTTCGTAAACGTTTTTCTGATGTTTCTTAAATATCGACGTGACTCTTGGAACAAATCCAGATAAATCTAGGGGCTCCATGCGTGTTCCATTAGATGAAACTGTCAACTGAAGGTGTTCCATTAGATGAAACTGTCAGCGGTCATGAGACTTATCTAGATGCGTCAAGGTTCTTAAATGCATAGGATAAAACAGTAATATAATTTAAGAAAATGGACCACTGTTGAACGAAGTACGGTGCCGGATGTATTAAGGGTGACTTTTTTTTGTTACCGTTATTTTCACCAGTCGGGCAGCCCGGCTAACGCCGGGCTTCCTTCTTATGTAGGTTACAATAATCTGCAAATTGACCCCTCCTCAATTGGAACAATTGACAGTTTTACGAACACAAAATTCGATAGAGGAGCAATAGGGTATGCAAATGTTATTCAAAATGAGCCGATGATGACAATGCTTATGCCTATGATTAGAAGTTTCATTCTGGTGCTTTTCATCTTAAAATAATGACCCATTGAAGGCTCAAGTGGTAGATCACCAAAGCCCTGAATGGTATTACAAATGTTCTCGAGCCATGTCAATATCAAATGCCTTTATCAATGAAGCCTCTTTTCTCCACGGATATACCATTAAATGAGGATCCAAGATTATTAGCGGTCGGATAAGTTTTGCAAAGAATGATATTGAAGCGAAGAGAAACAGTCGTAAATAACAAATTCGTCGGATTCAATTGGTGAGTGGATGCATTCTAGGACCTCTTTCATGGTCAGTGTTCCCATCCTGCCTCCTCTACTTTTATGGGGAACCCCGACCCCAGTGGGCGGAGTCTGATCCTGATACCCACCACCATAAGTGTTCCCACCTAGTCGACTGTGCTCCTTCCAAAGTTGAACGCTCTAGGTCTACAGGAATAGGAACTATGATTTTCCGCTCAAACCCGGTTCCCTGTGGAAGGAGTCCAGTCCTGCCACCCACAATAAGTGATCCTATCCTGAACCCAGTACTCCAGCCAAATTTGAAAGTTCTAGGTCCACAGGGACAAAAGTTATGATTTTCCGTCCGAACATTTATTTCGCACAAACCCCGCCCCTTGTGGGCGGGGTCTGGTCCTGCCACCCACGAAAAGTGTTCCCATCCTGCCGCCTGTACTCCTACCAAGTTTGAATGTTCTAGATCCAGGCAAGAGCCATGAATTTCCATTCGGACACACTCGCACAAACACACAGACATCAACGCGTTATTTAAAGTAGGATATCCGTAGCTAACCTATAATCTGCTGCGATTGTTCAAGCTTCAACAAACCATTGCTTGGTGGCTTGATTTGATCTCCGTATAATCCTTTACTGGTTCTTTAATTCAATCCAGTTCTTCCTGATCCTCTTTATCAAAGATCGCTTCCGCAGACATGAATAACAGTCACCGCTGCATCAAGAAAATGACTTTGTGAAATGACTGTACTCAAAAATGATCTGGTGCGTCAACGACGAAGTCTCGATCCCTAACTTACTGTCGAAAACGTTCTTATTGGCCGATCATACTCAAAGAATTTGTTCATATAGGCATCTGAAGATGGAGACATTCATGTGCTTAACGTCGTGTAGAATTTCATCGCACCGGCTCTACCTTGGTAGCCAAATATAGTTACGGCGACGTCCGTCTCCCATCTCTGAACCGAACAACCTACGTGTGACTACATAAGGCAGTCACCTCATGTGAATGCTCCTCCTTGTACTCTCTTTACGCTCGAGCGTTCTACTAAAAAGAGTAAAATTTATAAATTCACTGACAGACAGGTGGATAGACACTCATATAACGTCATTGTAGTTGCAAATGTATTTCGATGGTAGTGCGCTCACCAGGTGTCCGAAACGGAGCGCTCTCGTTACATGGTTTTTTGACTTTGTAGGTATCTATGGATATCTACGAACTTGAAGGACGCTGCGGGATTCGACAACACACCGCAAGAGAAGACGAAGTTGGTAGGCTGATGATTGGGTGAAGGTGTAGCTCGTAGACAACCTAGTGCAGCGGATGCCAAGACTCAGTCGATGCACGTCTTCTTTGCAAAGATTTCCTGCATTCACGTCTTTTCGGTGTTTTTTTTCAAAAAAAGGGCGAGTAAGTAAAGATTATCGATTATGGTGAAAATCGATACAATTACATCATGTACATTGAAAAAATCGTCTCTTCTCCACATGTAATATCTACCAGTCGGGCTACGCACGCTAAAGCATGCACGACATGCCCACCATTATCAGATGTCGTTATCACTGGACCTTCTTTCCTCCACGGGTAAATCATTAGATGAGAATCCCAAACTATTGGTGGTCGGATGAGCTTTGACGTAAATGATATCAAAACACAAAGTAACCTTGATCTTCCACCGAGTTACAAACCTTGCTGGGTAGCGGTCGTAATCTACATATATTATAGTCGTAATCATAAATACATCGTAAATACCAAAGGAGTTGAATTCAAATGATAAGGGCTCTTATCAGTCGTTATCAGCTGTTATCAGTTCCAATCATCGATCGTCTACGATACCGCCATACTCCACAACACTTGCCAAACTGTCAAGACTCCACTATTAATGCCATCATTATAGTGGCTCTACGCTTTGCAGGATTTTCAATAGCTCGCCTGGCCCCTACCGTTCTCGATCCCGTCAACGAGTACCTACGATCCTGTCACATCTTACATAACCTATTGAGATTCCATTAATAACAGAAAGTGCGTAACAGATCTAGTGGCTCCCGCCTTCTATGATTTCTTATCAGTCCCTATCACTTGCTCTCATTCCCTGTCATCAATCATTTACGGTCCCTTCACATCCTACATCACCTACCAAAGTGTCAAGACTCCATCGTTAATACAAAGGGAAATATGGGTTCTATGGCTTTTGCCTTTTAAGGCTCCCTATCACTTCCTATCAATTGTTGTCACCTCCTACCCCCTACCATCAGTGTTCCCATCCTGTCATCTGTATTCCTTGCAAATTTGAATGTTCCAGGTTCAGTGGGACAGGAGTTATGAATTTCCGGTCAGACAAACACACACACAAATACACACAAACACACCAACAGACACACTTAGCCGATTATATAAGTAGGATAATTCAATATCCTAATGGCGCTAATTTACGAATACACTGTCCTCATATTGTGCAACATATCGATGATGATCGGTTGGTGGGTGTCGTCGAAATGAAGCTCACGTCATTTCATCTGTTCTCTACTGAAGTTTGAGCGCTCTACTGTGAAAAGGGAAAGATATATAAATTATCTGACAGGCAGGAGGATAGACACCTATAGGCACACAGACAGACGAAATCAGCTGTACACCGCTACTTATTTTACTGCATCCACCTGGAAAATATCATACACGAATGTCAAAAATGATGTTTTTCAGGAGTTTTTCTTGAATTTGAACTCTTTTTATACAGCGACAATAAATTCAAACACAACAGGACACATGTTTTTATCTTTCCGTAGAAACGTTTCGCTTTCAAGTCAAAGTGATACTGTTTTTACACGTTGGCGACCATGCGTCCCTATGCCAAGACGCACGTTTTTGGCTCGCTGGGACATTTATGTTATTTATCAGGTGTTCCTATAATTTTTTCATGTTTTCAGTATCAGTTGCGCTCACAGCCTTCTAGAGAATCTTGAAGCATCGGGTTCCAGGATTTATTCATTTTTACCTCTAGATATAAGAGAAATAGAGGATGATGTCAGAACGATATAAAAGCGCGGTGGCCAATGGATTAATTTTAACGATTTTATATAAGGGCAAACATTGAAAATAGAAAATCGCGAGCCAGTAATCATCAGGGCCTCCATTCCACGATCAACTTTTGACATGATTGAAATTTGAATAAATGTCACCTAAGATTTATCGCTTTGGAGCCATGTGTCAAGCATAATTTTTTCTCAGTTTACTTTTGCCTCAGAATTCATTAATTTCACCTTTGTACCATGAAGCTTCTTATGTTTTAATGAATTCAGCTTAAGAATACTTATTTGTCACTGAATAACGATACTATTCTTGTTGGATTAGGACTCTGATCTCGGGTTGATGTGAATCACATTATCTGCAGTATCGTTATACATACATACATACATACATACATACATACATACATACATACA